ATATATTCTTTTTTAGATAAATTACTTGTGAAAAGAGTATAAAGTAAATGAATTCTTCAGATAATATTACTGAACATGTAGTATACTTGTACTGAACATTCTATTATAAATAGAAGCAAATCAGGTGGGAAATAAACAAATGTCACCAACACAAGCAGCAGCTTCACGTTCCACAATGCCTTTCACTAGACCTATTAACCAGGTTTTCAGATCACATTGATTAACCCATGTCCCAACCACAATGGCATTCTCAAATACACTCTGGATATCATACAGCAGGAAGTGAAATCACACAACAACACATCCCGTAAGAGGAGGACAAACAGAATGTCTGTGACTGTCAGTGGGTCTGACATTCATGACATTACTGTAATATCTCAGCTGCTTCTCCTAGAACGCTGTAAAATTTAATGGAGATTTTGACTGAAGTCTCCTGCTTTTCAGATGATTTTCTGACATAAAGGTCCCTAGAGTCTCGCACTGGAGTTTGAAAAGAGGAACAATGTCTCATACTGTGCTCAAATATACCAACACCGCAAAAAATTATATTCTCACTGAGTAATTTTCTGTTATTTTCCAGTACAAATATTCAAACATTCTTAAAAACAAGAACAATTTACTTGAGAAGCAAGATAAGAGACTGCCAATGGGGTCAGAAACATAAACTTAATTCAAAGGGAAAACAATTATTATTTCTGACCCCATTAGCAGACATTTAAGCAAAAACTCATTTCATTTTGATACATTTTTCAGAAAATAAGACTTAATATCTTGTATCATTTTGCTTCTCAAGTAAATGTATCTTGATTTAAGAATGTTTAGATATTTGTACTGGAAAACAAGACAAAAATACTGAGTTAAAAAAATCATTATTTGCTCAGAAAATACATCTGAAATCAAAAGTTCTCAATATCAACTCAAACATTTCTCTTTAAATTCTCAGAAAATCTAATGATCTGAGCTGCTCCATATTTTTAGGACTTTCCCCCTGTAGCTCAAACTGTAGAGCATGACACTCGCAAAACCAAGGTTAGGGTTCTATTCTAAAGGGAATGTAATGCAGTCACAAAGTATCTGATGAATGCATGAATAAACTCTGGGTAAAATATTTAAACTTGCATCCTAACGGAGTCACATAGTGGTAGTTGTTTACCAGTAACTCAGGTGAGTATTGTGTGGGTTGATCCAGGCTGAATTCATGCAGTTCTTGTGAAGTCAGGAGATAACAAAGAGTCGTGTGTGTGTGTGTGTGTGTGTGTGTGTGTGCGATCACTGAGCTGTTGCCATAGGAATGTTTTCAGAGTTATCATTTGATCAGGTGTGAAAACATACATAATCATCGCTCAGGCATGTCATGTGACGTCACATCTGTGAATGAGCTCGCCATGAATCCGTCTCACCTGAATGCACACAAACACAAACATTTGTTTACATTTCACGCAGGAATTTCCCAGCGACGTTTATTGTTATTCAGTTAACTGAATTATACTGTAAAACAACATGTAAACGGTTTTCCTTCAGGTGACCTTAAATGTCCCCACAAGGTCGACACCAAAACCTCTCTCATAAAAAGCCTGCAGGTATTTATTATGACAGTGTTGTTATACCAAACCGCTTCAGAACTACATCCCATAACACATTAAATTTGCTATATTCCCTCTTTTCTTTTATCCGTGAAGACAAACGTTTCATGAAACCCACAAACTTAAGATTAAACAATTAAAGAAAAGCACTATAAGCAAAGAAATGAATGATAAATATAAAAACAAAATAAAAATAATTACTGAAAAAATAAAGAATAAATAATCAATTGATAAATTACATGAATGCCTAATGAATATAAATGAATTAAAACAGTCCTTCAGTTTAATATATTTTAAGTTTAAATGACTTGTACAGTCAATTTGAATAATATTATAATATATAATATAATTATAAAATAATACATTTAGCAACTGAACTTAAGTTTTTATGTTGAAGTAGGTGGAAATATTTTAAAGTGAGTTTTATTTAATTTAGTAATTCATTGTAGTTTAACCCAGTTTAGTGCAGTGTATAGTTTAGTTCAAAATGATCATTCTGTCATCATTTTGAACCAAAGCATTTTGGAACCCATTGACTTGCATTGTCTTTTGGTACTATGGAAGTCAGTGGGGCCCAAAATAATTTGTTTACCAACATTCTTCAAAATATCTTCTTTTGTGTGTGAAGGATGACAGAATTTTCCCTTTAAGTTTACTTTAGTCCAACTTCGTTCGGTTCAATTTCAGACAGTTCAGAAACCTTATTAAAATGTATGTTCATGCATGCGTTCAGTTCTGTGAAACTGTTGCTCTGTGGTTACTCTCTTAATAAAGAGCACTTCCTCTCTCTCTCTCTCTTGCTCGCTCACTCTCTGTCATCTTAAGGAACTGTTATTTGTGTGTGTTTCATTTAATCTCTTGCGCACTGGAGGAGAAACCTGTGAACCTTAGTAAGTGCTCTCTCATTTTAACCTCTTTACTGACACATTTCATCATTTTATTACTCTTGCTCCACAAACAAACTTTCACACACTTTGACTGTCACTTGTGTGCGGCTGGATCTGATGAAGGCTTTTGTGGATCTGGACACGATCTGATTAGTCTGACACTGAAGCGTCTCGGGTTATGCTGGAGAAGGGTAGTTAAGCTGGCGTTTCTCTTGATTTCTCTTCCCTTTTGTTAGCACTGTGTCTGTGATCTGCCCACAGCAGCTTTTATTTCCTTTAATCAGTTCCAGTTTAAGGTGGATCATTTATGAAACTCTTTGATTTCACTGTAAATGTGTCACACATGAACTCTGAACTATCTGCGGCAGATCAGCACTATCAGTGTGAGGCATCTCATGCGGTTTAGCACCAGTTCAGTTTAGTTTAACACATTTAGTTCAGTCTAGTTTACTTCAGTTAAATGCCCTATGCAATAAAATGGCACAACCAGTTTAGTTTTTAGCGTAATTTAGTTTAGTTGAATTCTCTCTACAGTAAAGCAGCCCATTTAGTTTAGTCTAGTTTGGTTTAGTTAAAATAATATGTACAATAAAACAATAAAATGACACAAGTTTAGTTTAATATAGTTTAGGTTAATTCCCCCTGCGGTAAAGCAATACAATTAGATTGTTTTTAGCTTAATTTAGTTTAGTTGAATTCTCTCTGCAGTAAAGTGACCCATTCAGTTTAGTCTAGTTTAATTTAGTTAAAATAATATATACAGTAAAATAATAAAATGGCACAAGTTTGGTTTAGCTTAGTTTAATGCCCTCTGGCGTAAAACAACACAATTAGACTAGTTTACTATAGGTTTCAGCTTAGATTAGTTTATTTTAGTCTAGGTTAATGTAGTAAATAATGTCAAGTTTAGTGTAGTACATAATGGCAGAACAAGCTTTAGTTTAGTTTAATGCCCTCTGCAGTAAAGCAACACAATTTGTTTTTAGTTTAGTTTAGATGAATGCCATTTGCAGTAAAGCAGAACTATCAGATTAGTTTAGTTACACTTTCTCTACAAATAAAATGGTACAAGTAGCTTGGTTTATTTTGGTTTAGTGCATTCTACAGTGAAGCAACACAATAGTTAATTTTCTCTGTCTACAGCACAACAGGACAATCGGTTTGCTTTCACTCTGTTCTGTTTCTCTCTCTCTCTCTCTCTCTCTCTCTCTTTAGTTGAGCTTTGTTTAGTTGTCCGACAGAGGGTGTGTTGTGTGGGAATTCCCTCTGACAGTATCGATATGAAGTTAATGACATCACCTCTCTCCCTTTATCTCTGTGTAGGCGTGCAGTTCCTGTTTCGAGAGTCTATACTTACTGCTGACACAGATGAGGAAGACATGAAGAAGCCAGTCTGCTCTCTGTAAGTGCTTCAGCTGTTCACTCACATCCATCAGCATGAGTTTACAACTGCGCTGCTTATACACTCACAGATACAGGTACAGCACTCTGTGTGTGTGTGTGTGTGTGTGTGTGTTTGTGTGAGTATGTGTGTGTGAGTGAGTGTGTGAGTGTGTGAGTGTGTGTGTGAGTGTGTGTGTGGGTGAGTGTGTGTGAGTGTGTGTGTGCGAGTGTGTGTGTGCGAGTGAGTGAGTGAGTG